CATCGCTAGTAGGTTGAAGGCCATTGCCTCTAGGTTGGAGGCCATTGCTTAGTAGGTTTGAGGCCATCGCTAGTAGGTTGAATGCCATTGCTTCTAGGTTGGTTTATTCTTCATTGCCCCACCGAAACGTCAGGAGTTGCGGGAAGAGCTGCAGCATTTAGTTTCGACTTGTCCGGAATTGACGCTCAAGACGCACTGGGCTCCGAACGCCTCGTTTGGGCGTTCGGTCCAGCTGGCCCAAAACTCAGAGTGCATCGCTTCTAGTAACAAGTGCCTTACTACTAGGAACAAGAAGCTAACAAGTCGCCTCAGAAAAATAACAATAAGAAAGCCTCTAGTTTGGGGAGCAAGTATTCCAGACTTGCGATTGCCTTTTTGGCACGGAGCAACAACAACAACAACAACAACAATTAGTAGCAACTTTGCATTTGGCTTCCCTGTTTTCCAACTATGTTCCTTCTTTCCTTTCATGTTTATTCTTTTTTAAGGCCTTTAACGAGGCGTTCTTCTTTCTTCCGTGTTTTTGCATTCCAGACTCAAGGGCCATGAGTAACAGGCTCAAGTGCCACAGAATTTGTCATCTCAATTGTTTCATGCAAGTTGACCCAATTTGTCAGCTCATTTGTCTCATGCAAGTTGACCCCAATTCTTGCCGATCTTTGACTCAACTACACCCGCTACAAGCCACCAGAGCACAGCCCTACCAATTCTGAAGCGGAGAAGTCTTGCCCTTACTGAAAGGACAGGACTTTTTGTAGGACTTCTCACTTCTGCAAGGATGAAGAAGAGGCGGTTCATTGTTAACGGCACGACTCCAGAAAGAGCTCTAAAGTGCTATGCTTCGCGCCAGGTCGTGATATCCGACATCCTAAGTCGAGCATGGGGTTCTTCGATCATTCTAAGGATGTGATCAGCATCAAGGCCAAAGATGCGGGCGCGAAGAAGCTCAACAAAGTCTTCATGTTATTTGGGGTCTGTCCGGCTTTATTTGGACACGTCTGTCCAGCTGGGAAGAACAGTGACCGGGAAGCTGTGCGCTTCACAAGCTCGCTTGGCGCATTGTTTGCACGCCCATGCAGAAGTACTTGTTTCGCCGCATTCCCTGGTGCCGTGCTCACAGTAGTGAAGGAACACATAACATGGACATCACACAAGAACTGGTCCATGACAAATTGTTCCACGATGGTGAGCCCCCTGATGTGGAACCTATGTAAAAAGGATGCTACTAGGAGCACAGGCTAAGGGCATCGCTACTAGGAGCAAGGACGCTACTAGGGGCTCCTGGCCATACTACTAGTGGCAAGGATGCTAGTAGGGAGCAAATGGAACCGTAACAAGGGAGATCCACAGGTCCAGTTTCACAATGTGGAGACATCTCACATCATCAAGCAACGGCATGCCATCGGCCATCGCTATTAGAAACAAAAAGGAAAAGGAAGAAAAGTCTAATAGGGCTAGAAGCTACTAGTAACCAGGGCAATCCTACTAGTAGCAAGGTGCCTTACTAATATCGTTTGCTATTAGGTTGGAGGCCATCACTAAGAGGGTGGAGGCCATCGCTGTTGCGCCGTTGATGCCATGCCTCAAAGGCGCGGGAGTTGTTCGAGCGGGCGGCTTGTCTCATTGAGCCCCTAGTAGTAACAGGTGCATCGCTAGTAGTAACAAGTGCCTTACTAGTAGTAACAAGAAGCTATTAGAATCAAATTAGAATTGGCAAGAATGCTACTAGTAGCGATGCCAGGAGCCCCTAGTAGCGTCCGATCGCTCCTAGTAGCGTGGCACTTGTTACTACTAGTAAGGCACTTGTTCCTAGTAGCTTCTTTGCTCCTAGTAGTAAGGCCAGGAGCCCCTAGTAGCGTCCTTGCTCCTAGTAGCGATGCCAGGAGCCCCTAGTAGCGAACATTGCAACTGAGGGCATGGACTGCCAGCACCCGCACACCCTGCCTGTGCAGGACAAGCAACGATATGGTTCCTCCTTTGCATGTGAATTCCTGCTTAGATCTGAAGACATGTCCTTGTCCTTTTGTCCTCCCGTTTCAGTCTCTTCTAGCAGTGTTCAAGTAGAGTCTGACTGAGTAAAGATCGATGGCTCATTGAGGTGCATTGTTGCTAAGATCGATGGAATTGCATCGCTCTGCATTGCGAGAGGGCTTTTGCTTACAAGAGGGTTGAGGGTGCAGTGTACTTTCTTCAAAGGCCATCGCTAGTAGGTTGGAGGCCTTTGCTGAGGCCATCGCTAGCAGGTTGAAGGCCATCGCTATTAGGTTGGAGGCCATCGCTATTAGGTTGGAGGCCTTTGCTGAGGCCATCGCTAGCAGGTTGAAGGCCATCGCTATTAGGTTGGAGGCCATCGCTAGTGGGTTGAAGGCCATTGCTTCTAGGTTGGAGGCCATCGCTAGTAGGTTGGA